CTATAGAGGACATGGCTTCAAGGTCAGTTGGAATCTTCACGAGCTAAGTTTCAGTTATGGACTTCCAAAAGCATGATGTGCGCTTAATGCCACTAAAGGGATATGGGGTGCAGGATATACCCATTGATGGATCACCTACTGGAGAATAAGTCGCTTTGAACCTTGGTGGAGAGGACAAAGTCTAAATGCAGCACGTGGTTATTAGGACCACCAAAAAAAAAAAAAACGAGTTTTAATCTATCCTTTGGTTAGGATAGGCGTGCTCACAAAGCAAAGGACGTGGAACCATCAAGGTAGTTCGGTGAACCTCGGGGTCGAGAACAGCAGGAAAAGAGGTCAAGCTATGGTCACGCTATCTCCGTTTGGAGAGAGAAAACTTAGATGTGTGTTAGTAAGAACCTACCCTCGTATAGGTCACCCGGATTACAAAGAGCAGAATTCTAGCTACACATGAGTGTGACGCCATACTCGTGAAGCATGCTTAGATAGAGGTAGAACTCTTAGACAACAGGATGCCAAAGACCACCAGACGGTAATGAGATGGTGACTTGTAACCAGGTAGGACTAGCAGAGACATGATACGTCTTAGAGAACATACTGACATAGCATCCTCAAAGTTTGAGGGAGACTAGCTACCAAACAAGAGTCTTCAGAGAGTTCCCTAGAATACGGTACAAGATCTTGAAAGGTTCACATGCTTGAAAAAAAAAAAAACCCAGTGATGAGAAATCACTACGAGAGGAGACGTGACTAGCTCAATCATAAAGATACTGCATGAATTAGCCTAGGTGAACGCAAAGGACTCATGCAAGGATTCCTTACTTCCAAAAGAGCCCGTACATGGCCCAAATGAGTATTACTACTCAAGCGAATCATGTGACGGGGCGTCTCGTATGAGAAAAGACCTGTGTTAACCAAATGAGATGCAGTTACGAGGCCATTTTTGGTGAAGCAGTAAGGATCGTAAGGGTCTCAACAAGGTAAGGATACCTCCTATGAGGATCAAAGAGAGGGACATGTTGAGGGCTGCCTTCCAGAGTCATGAGGAAGGTGAGTTTACTGACGAGCCCTTCCAGAGTCATGAGAAAGTGTAAGTTTACAAAAATCGAAGGTGCATGAGATTCTCTTGCTATCATCATTATAGTCGTCTTTGACGATATGACAATGAACACTTGAGGAAGGTTTTGGTGGTGTTATGAACATATCGATCATGCGCTAAGATCTCCAAAGTGCCGGTGTTGGTTGTCTGAGATGACATCCGAAGTTATGGGGTGTCAAGCGGAGAGAGTTCATCGTAGACATCGCTAAGATTGAAGTAGCTATGAGGTGGCCAAAACTGACCACAGTCACTAAGGTACGAAGTTTCTAGAAATCTTTCGAAAGACTCGTACGTGATATTTCTAGGATCTCTGTAGCGCCTACACGAATACCAGCAGGCGACCAGAGTTTTCAGGCACTTAAGCAAAGGTTGGTGACTGCATCAGTTCAAGTTGGGCTAGACAATCTTGTAACGTATAGAGACGCCTCATGTAAGGGCTTAGGGTGCGTGCTTATGCAGAATGGTAAGGCATTAGCTTACGCTTCAAGAAAGCAGAAAGAGCACGAACAAAATTACCCTACTCATGACCTTTAACTAGCAGCAGTCGTGCTTGCCATGGAGACATGGCAACATTACGAGCATGGAGAAAAGTGCAAGCATACACTGACTAAAGAGCCTCGAGTACTTGGTCGTACAGATGGAATGACACAGATCGATCATACGTCTGCAATGATCACCAAGCAAGGGAAGTTACAGGATGGAAGGAAGAATGCTAGAAACTTGGGTTGCAGTTAATGGTGATATCGCTAAGATAGCATAGATGACCATGCAACCCACTTTATGAAAACGTGTCTTTAATGTCCAGAGATCTGATGAACACCTTAACAAAGTGTGGAGTCAGACTGGGGTGGAAAAGCCAACTAGGTGTTCTATCCCCTCAGACGGGGTCCTGCACTGGCAAGACTGCCTAGGTGTTCCCTGAGACGAGGAAATCCTAAAAGACGTTTTAGCTGAAGCCACTATACATCTGATACGTTCCACCTAGGATGTACGAAGTTATCTGAAGAGATACTATGGGTGGCTTGGGAATGAAGAGAGACATGGCGGGTTTCGTAAGACGATGCTGCTAGCAGGTTAAGGCATCGAAATAGCGCCCAACAAGATTGCTACAATCCTTCAATGGGAAGTAGTGAGTGTGGGTTTTGTCTCGGGTTTGCCAAAGACTAAACAGACTCGTAACGTGATTTGGATACTTGGGGTAGACCAACCAAGACAACTCACCTCATCCCAGGTGAGACCACTTATCGAGTAGATCGATGAGATAAGTTATATGTCAAAGAGATGGTACGCCTATACGGGTACCAGACCCTATCGGGTCAGACCAAGACGCGAAGTGTTGGTATGAAAGAGCGACCACTTAGTAAAAGTCTCGTGGGAGTAACCACCTTAATGAAGAGGCAACTCAAGAACGTAAAGAAGACGGGAAGGGGCCTATCCCAAACTCTTCCAAGAGACGCCAACTTTCGGGGAGAACATCTGCCTTTAATGGAGTTTGCCTACAACAATAGTTATCAAGCGACCATTCAGATGGCCCCCTTTGAGGCACTGTATGGGCGTAGGTGTCGAACACCAGTGTTTTGGGAAGAGGTAGGCACGCAGCAACTACTGGGACCAGAGTTGGTCGGGGTCACCAACGCAGCGGTGAAGAAAATCAAGTAGAGGATACTCACCGCACAGAGTCGACAGAAAAGCTATGCAGATGTGGGTAGAAGGGACCTCGAATTTGAGGTGGGTGACCATGTGTTCCTGAAGGTGGCCCCTATGAGGGGGGTGTTGAGGTTCGGAAAGAAAGGGAAATTGAGCCCAAGGTTCATAGGCCCCTTCGAGATTCTAGACAAAGTTGGGGCTGTGGCTTACAGAATTGCCCTACCACCGAACCTTGCCACCGTGCACAATGTGTTCCACGTATCCATGCTGCGAAAGTATACTCTCGACCCTACTCATGTAATCGAGCATGGGAGGCTTCCTCTTCAAGAGGATCTGTCTTACGAGGGGAAGCCTAGCAGAATTTTGGTTCGAGACACTAGGCGGTTGCGTAACAAAGATATTCCCTTGGTAAAGGTCTCATGGGGTAACCGCCGTGAGGAAGAGGCAACCTGGGAACGAGAAGAGGACATGAGGAAAGCTTATCCCGAACCCTTCCAAGAGATAGCTACTTTCGGGGACGAAAGTTCCTGAGGGGAGAATTTGTAATACCCGAAGAAAGAGAAATAGAAATAGAAATAGAAAAAGAAGAAAAAGAAAAAAGGAAAAGTCGAGAGGGGCAAATAAGTAAATTTGCCCCTCCAACCACCTAAGGGGTCCAAACGAAACCCCATCCATAGTCCTGCAAAAGAGAGATAGTGAGAGAAAGGGGTAGAGAGAACTTAGAGAGAGGAGAAAGGATGAACCGCCGAAAGACTCACCGAAAACTACCGTTGGAGTCTATTCCGGTGAAGATCATGATGCAAGGAAGTGAAGATCATGTAGAGAGACTTTCTTGGAAGGGAAAAGAGAATGTGGGTGGCCGGAGTCCCATTTTTCATCAAGATGTCGGAAAACCCGCAAGGTAAGGATCTTGAACGTTTTCTCAGATCTACAGTTTTTCTTTGTAAATCAAGATCTGAAATCTTGATATATTCATCTAGGAACAACTCTACGCGTGATCTGTGAAGAAATTTGGCCGAGACCTCAACCCGAAGGCGGAGATTCGAGAGTCGTCCGAGAATGTTGAGCGAAATTCCGACCTTCTTAACTTATCCGGTAGTTAAGCAAAAATTACAAAAAAACTACGAGGACGTAGCCCGTAACACGATCTAAAACTTTGTCGAAGAAATCATGTCGATCCGATCTACGGATCGAAAGATATGAAAATCAGAATAGAGAATTGTGTTTCGGTTTTCAGAAGATAGAGAAGAAAGAAGAAGAAGAAGAAGAAAAAAAATAAAAAATAAAAAAAAATAAAGGAGTCGGCCGGCGAGCGACGGACGGCGGCGACAGGCGCCGGACACGCGTCGACCATCGGCTGGAGCAACGCAGCTCCAGCGAGGCGTCGACGCATGTCGCCTGCAAGCCGAGTCGAACCGCGACGCGAGCCAAGCCGACCGGACCGGCCGACCCGCGACTACGCGGAGGCGGGCACGCGACTGGCGCCTTCCCGCGCGCGTGGGACGGCCATTTTGGCCCAGTTGCTTTCTGTTTGCCCGATTTTTGTCCCGGTTCCAGTTCTAATACTGTTCTTACGTGAATAGGGACCTAATTTAAAGAAATCAGTACTTTTGGACACCTCACGGGCAAAGAAACGCTAGCAAAAAGGGCACGCGTTAACCACGTAAGTCACCACCCGGTATTTAGGAAAAAATACTTGTAGGGTTCGTTTGGATTGTATGTATGCATGTTAGTGATTTTGTCTTAAATTAGCTCTCCATGAATGAGATTAATCAGATGGATTGTTATGATGGGTTGGGTGAATTATCTGAGTGTTGCTTGTATGCCTTAAGCTTCCGTTGTACGTATGCATGCGTTTAATTTATGTTGGAATTGTGTATTCCGTGTTCCGGGTGCTCGATGGATGAATTCGCCCCATTGAGCGCGAACTTCGTGTTTTGGGTGCTGGATGGAGGCCATCGCCTCGTTGAGCCGGTGTGCCTAGTTTGCATGAATATTAGGATGTTAGAAGACGGTTGCCTGCACACCTCGTTATTTTCTAGTGCCCATTTCTATGACAAGCTTAGAGAATTATTGTTAGGAGCGATATGTCGCTCCAGCCAGACTTAATTTTCCCCTAGGAACTTAGCGGTTCACCTTGACAAGAAAGTACCTAGGAGTGTTCATATATTGCTAGCGTGAGAACGGTATCTATAGCTTCGTGGGAGGACCAAGGGTCCCTGATCAGTCCTTACTGCTCTTAGCCATTTCGCATGGGAAATGTGTCCCCACGTCGTACAGCCCATTAGCTGCATGGGAACGGGTTAGGTCGCGCCCCCCATAGGAGGACTATATGGGCGTAGGGG